GAAAGTAGCCATCGTCTGCGTGCTTAACACCGCAATTCCCTGAATTAATCTCCGACACCGTTCCTGTCTTTAATGAGAATTACACCGGCGGCCTTAGAGGCAGTGGATTTAGTATTTTCAGTTCAATAATGACAATTACCTGGTTGCAGAGATGGGAGATTATTGTGTGTTTTTTCATCGGAATTGTGTTTATTCAAGGAGCAGCAAACCAAGCGACGGACGTAACGTTTTCCGGTAACGTTTATTTTAATTAATTTTTCATTATAAAAATTATGTAAGCTCTGTGAGAACTTTAAAATAGAGACTTAATATGGTTGAGGGTGAGGGGAGGGGATTCATTTTGATATGCTAATGCTCTACGGGAGATTTTAACCTCTATTTTAACCTTTATTCGGTCTTTTCGTTCCAAACGACAAATTATGGTCTTATGTATCTGTCACCTCCAGCCTTTTGCTTTAAATTCAAGACGCGCAAAACATATCTTAAAATTAATTTAAAGTCGGCTTAACGTGTAAATAGGGTTATTTTCAAAAGGGTTGTATACTATTTATTAGACAGATGATTCTTACGCTATCGTTAATACCTACACTTCTATAGCACATCCTTTTTAAAAACATCCTAAAAAAACATGTTTTTGATGGGATATTCATGAGCCTGCTTCATGTCATGCGTATCCAACACGGTATTTTAATATTATATGATTTATTATTATATATAATATAATATATAAGTTATTAAAATAATACATCACGCACAACGCACAACAGTTATATAACAAAATATTCAACAATTTTTCAATGATACCTTTGTAATGAGTACATGTTATATTTCTCCCGCCCTTACAATAGCCCAGATGTATTCAACTTACATTTAGATGTTAATTGTTGGTAAAATTAAGTAGGGCAAGTACAAGTTAAAGTATAAAAAATATTGAGCTTTGGAGCATTGTTACCCAGCGAAACGAGAAAGCGGTAATACTCAAAGTAATAAAGACATCCACTCCCGTTGTTAAAAGGAGTGTGATGCAGTTTAGCCATCGATTAATAGCACAGTAGGCCTATATACATGTAGACATCGACATATCCAAAGCGACACCATACTTATGGAGATAAAATACAACCAGAGGCATATTCTTTTATCCGAAAAAGGAACGCGTACCCAAATTTACTGTGATAAAAATACAAGGTTTTAAATATATTACCGACATCGATATCGGCACCACAACCTGGGTCTAGTAGGACGTCTTTGACCAAACTTGATCGTCTCCATGACAACGGGGGAATATGACGTATTTTCTATCGAATTTAATCCTGAAGCCAAGCTTAATTTAAATTAAATAAACTTACCTTTTAAATTATTTCATAACGTGTCGAAATTTTACGGGTTATTGTTATATATAAGCGGAGGGTTCAGTTCAAATTTTAATTTAAAAATGCTCATAGATTTGGTCTTTCAAATCAGATAATAATTATAATAATAATAATTTATTTTAGGGGGCATACCATAATAATCTCAATGCTTCTAACAAAGGGAGTTAGAATATTCTAATTGCTTATCAAAAGCCTCAAAAGTGGTGAATATAAATATTATAAGGTTCACTCATAAATTATGACAAACCGAGAAAAAATTAATCTGTTTGCAATTGTATGTATCTTAGTCATCCAGTCATGCATCACATAAAGCAGTTTTTTTTATATACTGGACGTATAATATTAATTTCAGGTCACGATGTTGCCTTTCTCTCTCAGAGACTTCAGTAGGTCTACTGAAAATACAGGTGAACTCTTCTCAGTCTTGTTGCGTAATTTGTATTTTCACTAGGCCGGTTAAGCATCCGAGAGGCAGACGCAACGTCGTCAACTAGACTGAAATTGGAAATCCAGTATTACTTTTTAACTTGTACATAATTCACATGTCACGTGCAAACCATGCTGACTTATTAACCGTGATATCGAAGTGGATTTAATGTGTATAAGAACATAAAAGGTGAAATTAATCAAGAAAAATGTACATTCAGGTAGTAATAGCCGTAAATGAAAGCCTCGTTGACTGGCAATTAGAACAGCAAGCGATGAGAAAATCCCTACAGGGATATCCTTGCCTTAACAGTTGGCGTTGAAATCAGACACCCTCTTAATGGTAAAACTAAATGCATGTATATTTGTATAAAGCAGAGCGCTTAACTACTCGACATTCCTTTCTGCAATAAATCCGTATTATTTACTGTGGTTTAAAACATTGTGTGCAATGGTCTTTCTGTGTAGGTCTGGCGATAGTCGGTAGAATTATGTCACATTGGTCACGTTCACATCAGGACTTGCACTCTGACACAGGACGCTTTTTGTTTGAGGAAATTGAGGATTTATTTCGAGGGTTACCAAAGGTCCGTTCTTCACAGGCGACCAAACAGTGAAACACGTTCATAACGATGTAGACGAAGGTTCCCGGTAAAAACTAAATTGATAATGCACAATTAAACTGGCTGACAGCGAGAATGTATTAATGGTTTCTTCCTATTTGGAATTATTTTTTATACTATCTCGTTTACTTTGATTCGATGGGCAACTTCTGCTTGCTCAGTAGAATGCTAAGGTAGTGTCTTAGGCTTAGCTTTATGACGGAAAAAGTTATGCTTCAGTTTATTTATTTTATTTTATTTTATTTTTTTATTATATATATATATATATATATATATATATATATATATTTTTTTTTTTTTTTTTGTAGAAAGAACATTAGCCGGTTAAATCTCAGTCGTCTAAAAATTAGCCCCAAAACTGACAACAGAATTTGAAGGTAGATTGCTTCTTCCTCTCATGTATCTGCCACTTCCAGCCTTTGAGTTAAATCTCAGTTTTCTTGACACAATGCGCATGTCCAAATTTGCTTGGTAGCCTCTCCGCCCACACCTCACCAAGTCTCCAACACTGGAGGTGGATTCTGGCGTTTTCACTTTTTGGTTTACGAACTTGTTCTCCTAAGGCGAATTGATTATTATTTGCAATTTTCCAAGAATTCTAATCTTGGATGAATACTCAACGTTTTTGATATTGTCATTTCACTGTATACGCATCAACACTATCGATTGTAGCTACGATGATAGGAATTAAGTGTGTCTCAGCAAACATTGTCGCAGGGGAACAGGGGGATTAAATTGTAGACTTGATTGATTACATCAGTGTTAATATTTGGTCATCGCACTGGTCTGGTAATGTATTGACTTTCTACTTGATTCCTACCCTGTGTGTTACTGTTACACATTCTAGCACCAAGGTGATGTATTTATGGCAGTATGACCACATTGAAATCAATGGGGATGGTAGTTACCACGAGAAAAAATGATTAACTCTCATATCTACTTGTAAAAGGTGATCTAAATCGAATTGGATGCGTCCGTACTATACCATGGAAATGCTTGCATGTTTTGACTAAAACAGAATAAATATGTAAGACTATAGATGCATTTCAATCTTACTTATTTATTTCTTAGATACAAAAGCTATACGGTTATTTAAATGGCAAATCTTCAGTTTTGATTCAAACGTAACGCCAAAAATACCTACTCCAGGACCCAGCAAAGAGTATAAAAGCCAGCCCAAGGCAAATTTGAATATGATGTTTGACAACGCATAACTTTTATATTACAAACCCTTACCCGGTCCTCCAAACCTCCCTGAAGTTTTGTGTTATAGACAATGCTAAGAATTCGTCAAACAATAGTAGACAATTATATTATATTTCGAAATATCGAACGGCTGTATGATATAAAAAAGGCAGATTCTTTATTAGACTCTTGAAAGAACAAATGATCGGCGCACTTGCAATATCAGTTATTGTGTTTACATTTATATCCGATCTGTAAAAGTGAAAGCTTATTTTAGAAGACATCGATAGCTAGGTTATATCTGAACACCTTCTCTTGCACATCACTTGGAGACAAAGCGTCTTTGCTTTCGTGAGTAAACTCAATCGGGGCTCACTCGGAAATGATCTCACGTCTGTTGTAGTGTAGTTAAGCGATGCGGTCAATACACACCACCAGAAGTTGGCACCTGGAGTGGGCTTTAAGGAGTGTCAATGGGCGCGTGCTTGAATTTCGGCTATCCCCACACTCCAGGGGTGACAGGTATACGGAGATTACACGTAATAGTATAGGATCTGTACACAATAACCGCCGCACCATGCATAAAATGCACTTACTTTAAACAAGAAAAACTTCAGTGAGATTTGTTTAATAAAAAATTTTAAGATGTACAGGTGTTTGCCCTTCATAACAATGAATAAATTTAGGTGCTCTATATTTTAAATGTTAGAAACGCCAATTATGTTGAATTGGAAATTTAAACCGAGCACAAGTATGAACTCTTGTCCGTTTTGCAAGCTGACTAGCATTTTATAAGCCAATAACACGACTTAAAGCGATTTTATGATTCTTTTAAGCTTCTTATCTTCTTTATGATACACCCAGCCGCAGTTCCCCTAGTTATAGTTGCCATTGTGCCAAGTTTTTAAAAAATTATTATTCAGTTTATCTATTCCACTCTAAAATACTCTTCAATTATCACAAAGTCATACTACATTGTAGGGGAAATGAAACTGAAATTCTTTTCATAATTGTTGTGGCGTGAAGTGAGTACATGAAACCGCTCCGGCAGCCCCCGTAATGTAAAAATATATCCAGAACTTGAAGCAGAAAGGGAGTCTGAGTTAAAATCTCAAAAGAAAATAGTGTCCAAGCACTAAAAGACAGTTAAACCACATGATATCGAATTCATTGTATTTCATTGCACCGGCCCATTTAATATTAGTGCATTTTACAATAAATAAATAAATAAATAAATAAATAAATAAATAAATAAATAAATAAATAAATAATAACATACAAAATATCATTATTATATAATGCTGAACATTAACGTTGACAGTAGCTCGTTGATAAGATACAAATCTGAGATTATAACTTATTTTCTAATACAGATCAGGGTACAGGGGAATCAACGATGATCACCCTGCCAGGTTTTGTAGACGATACCAGTGGCACCAATATGGCACCTACATCAGCGGCCGGGGATTCAGTGACAGCACTTCACTCGTCTTTTACTACCACGGCACCGGGCTGGGCTGACAGCACGGTCTCTGAACCAGACACAGTATCTGTGATAAACTCTTGGACTTCTACTTTAGACTACTCCTCAACTGACCCTGTGTCCAACACTGCTCTGGCCACAATGTTTCCTGAAAGTAGACCTCAATTCGATTCATTAACTGAAATATCAACAGCAGGGGACATGTATTTCGAAACGAATTTAGAAGCAACGGTTACTAAAAACACATATTTTTATGCGTCGACTAAAGAGGAAACGATTGTGGAGACATTGATAAGAAAAACGGATGAAGGTGCAATATTCACAACAACAGTAGCAACAGCTGATGTTGTAACAACGACAATGCCGACACCAACGAAAGTAACTGATGAGGTCACAACGATCACGCCTACAACAACACTAGCAACAACTGATGAAGTCACAATGACCATACCTACAACAACACTAGCAACAACTGATGATGTAACAATGACCATGCCTACAACAACACTAGCAACAACTGATGATGTAACAGTGACCATGCCTACAACAACACTAGCAACAACTGATGAAGTCACAACGATCACGCCTACAACGCCAATAGCAACGGCTGATGTTGAAACAACGATCATGCCTACAATAACATTAGCAACAACTGATGTTGAAACAACGACCATGCCTACAACAACAATAGCAACAACTGATGATGTAACAACGATCATGCCTATAACAACAGTAACAACAACTGATGATGTAACAACGATCATGCCTATAACAACAGTAGCAACAGCTGATGTAACATTTGAGGCAAAAACAACATCTTCTGTGACACTAGATGCAGAAGCGATATCGTCGTCTATGACAACCAATGCAGAACCAACGACTTCACCTTTAGTTACAACAAATACAGAAACCACCTTTTTAATGACAACTGACACAGAAATAACTACGACTACTGTGACGACAAACCTNGATGCAACAATAACAACTTCCGCTGTAACGACCGATGCAGTAACCACATCGTCTATGTCAACAACTGATGCAGGAACTTCAACGTCTGTTTTATCGTCTAACACAGAAATAACTGTAACAACTGTTCCAGAAACAACTATGTCTGCTTCAACAACTAATGCAGAAACTTTACCGTCTGATTTAACATCTGTTTCTGAAATATCTGTGACAACTGATGCAGCAACAACAACGGCTACTGTAACGACTGATGCAGCAACTTCAACTTCAACAGTAACAACTGATGCAATATCTACAAAATTTGCTTCAACAACTAATGCAGAGACAACGTCTGTTTTATCAACTAGTGCAGAAACATCTGTGACAACTGAAGCAACAACAACAACGTCTACTATAACGACTGATGCAGGAACTGCAACTTCTATTTTATCAACTAAAGCAGAAACAATTGTGACAACTGATGTAGCAACAATGTCTGCTGTAACGACTGATGCAGTAACTACAACGTCTGCTTCAACAAGGGATGCAGAAACTACAACGTCTGACTTAACATCTGTTGCTCAAAAATCTGTGACAACTGATGCAGCAACAATAATATCTGCTGTAACGACTGATGCAGTAACTACTAAATCTGCTTCAACAACTGATGCAGGGACTACGTCTACAACAGCGTCTACAGTAACGACTGATGCAAAAGCTACAACGTCTGTTTTATCAACTAACGCAGAAACAACTGTGACAACTGGTGCAGAAACAACTACGTCTACTTCAACAAGTGATGTAGAAACAAAAACTTCTGATTTAACATCTGTTGCTGAAACATCTATTACAACTGATGCATCAACAACAGCGTCTACAGTAACGAGTAATGCAGAATCTACAACATCTGCTTCATCAACTAACGCAGAAACAACTGTGACAACTGATGCAGCAACAACGTCCACTGTAACGACTGATGCAGTAACTACAACGCCTGTTTTAACAACTGATGCTGAAACAACTCTAACAACCGAGGCATCAACAGCAATGCCTACAGTAACGACTGATGAAGTAACGACAACCTTAACCTTAACGACTGATGCAGAAAGTACAACATCTGATTTAATAACTGATACTGAAACATCTGTATCAACAGGCACAGTAACAACGCCATCTACTGTAACGACTGCTACAGAAATTACAACGACTCTTTTATCAACTAACGCAAAAACAACTGTGACAACTGATGCAGAAACAACAACGTCTATTGTAACGACTGATGCAGAAACTACAATGTCTGTTTTATCACATGACGCAGAAATTTTTATAACAACTGATGAAGCAACAACAGCGTCTACATTAACGAATGCTGCAGAAACTACAACATCTATTTTAACAACTGATGCTGAAATGACTATGACAACTGATGGAGCAACAACAACGTCCGCTGTAACGACCGATGCAGTTACCTCAACGTCTATGGCAACAACTGATGGAGGAACGTCAAAGTCTGTTTTATCAACTAACGCAGAAAAAACTGTGACAACTAATGCAGCAGCAACGTCAACTGTAAAGTCTGATGCAGTAATTTCGACGTCTGCTTCAACAAATGATGCAGAAACTACAACGTCTGATGTAACATCTGAGGCAGAAATATCTGTGACAACAGAAGCAGCAACAGATTCAACAGTATTGACTGATTCAGTAACTACAAAATCTGCTTCAACAACTGATGCAGAGACTATGTCTACAACAGCGTCTACAGTAACGACTGAATCAGAATCTACAACGTCTGTTTTATCAATTAACGCAGAAACAACTGTGACACCTGGTGCAGAAACAAATACGTCTACTTCAACAAGTGATGTAGAAACAACAACTTTTGATTCAACATCTGTTGCTGAAACATCTATTTCAACTGATGCATCAACAACAGCGTCTACAGTAACGAGTAATGCAGAATCTACAACATCTGCTTCATCAACTAACGCAGAAACAACTGTGACAACTGATGCAGCAACAACGTCCACTGTAACGACTGATGCAGTAACTACAACGCCTGTTTTAACAACTGATGCTGAAACAACTCTGACAACCGGGGCATCAACAGCAATGCCTACAGTAACGACTGATGAAGTTACGACAACCTTAACCTTAACGACTGATGCAGAAAGTACAACATCTGATTTAATAACTGATACTGTAACATCAGTATCAACAGGCACAGTAACAACGCCATCTACTGTAACGACTGCTACAGAAATTACAACGACTCTTTTATCAACTAACTTAGACACAACTGTGACAACTGATACAGAAACAACAACGTCTATTGTAACGACTGATGCAGAAACTACAACGTCTACTTCAACAACTGATGCAGAAACTACAACATCTATTTTATCACATGACGCAGAAATTTTTGTAACAACTGACGAAGCAACAACAGCGTCTACATTAACGAATGTTGCAGAAACTACAACATCTATTTTAACAACTGATGCTGAAACGACTATGACAACTGATGGAGCAACAACAACGTCCGCTGTAACGACCGATGCAGTTACCTCAACGTCTATGTCAACAACTGATGGAGGAACGTCAAAGTCTGTTTTATCAACTAACGCAGAAACAACTGTGACAACTGATGCAGAAAGTACAACATCTGCCTTAATAACTGATGCTGTAACATCTGTATTAACAGGGACAGTAACAACGCCATCTACTGTAACGACTGCTACAGAAATTACAACGACTATTTTATCAACTAATGCAAAAACAACTGTGACAACTGATGCAGCAACAACGTCTACTGTAACGACTAATGCAGTAACTACAACGTTTACTTCAACAACTGATGCAGAAAGTACAACGTCCGTTTTATCACATGACGCAGCAAAAACTGATGCAGCATCAACGGCGTCTACAATAACGAATCCTGCAGACACTTCAACTTCTATATTAACAACTGATGCTAAAATAACTATGACAACTGATGCAGCAACAACAATGTCTACTGTAACGTCCGATGCAGTAACTTCAACATCTACTTCAACAGGTGATGCAAAAACTACAACATCTATTTTAACAACTGATGCTGAAACGACTATGACAACTGATGGAGCAACAACAACGTCCGCTGTAACGACCGATGCAGTTACCTTAACGTCTATGTCAACAACTGATGGAAGAACGTCAAAGTCTGTTTTATCAACTAACGCAGAAACAACGGTGACAACTGATGCAGAAAGTCCAACATCTGACTTAATATCTGATGCTGTAACATCTGTATCAGAAACAACTACGTCTACTTCAACAAATGATCCAGAAACTATAACATCCATTTCAACATCTGATGCTGAAACAACTGTAAAAACCGAGGCATCAACAGCTGCGTCTACAGTAACGACTGATGCAGAAACTACAACGTCTACTTCAACAACTGATGCAGAAACTACAAAGTCTGTTTTATCACATGACGCAGAAATTTTTATAACAACTGATGAAGCAACAACTGCGTCTACATTAACGAATGCTGCAGAAACTACAACATCTATTTTAACAACCGATGCTGAAACAACTATGACAACTGATAGAGCAACAACAACGTCCGCTGTAACGACCGATGCAGTTACCTCAACGTCTATGTCAATAACTGATGGAGGAACGTCAAAGTCTGTTTTATCAACAAACGCAGAAACAACTGTGACAATTAATGCAGCTGCAAAGTCTACTGAAACGTCTGATGCAGTAACTTCAACGTCTGCTTCAGCAAATGATGCAGAAACTACAACGTCCGATGTAACATCTGAGGCAGAAATATCTGTGACAACAGAAGCAACAACAGCAGAGTCAACAGTATCGACTGATTCAGTAACTACAAAATCTGCTTCAACAACTGATGCAGAGACTATGTCTACAACAGCGTCTACAGTTACGACTGATGCAGTAACTACAACGTCTACTTCAACAACTGATGCAGTAACAACAACGTCTACTGTAACGTCTGATGCAGTAACTACAACCTCTACTTCAACAACTGATGCAGTAACTACAACGTCCGTTTTATCACATGACGCAGAAAGTTTTGTAACAACTGATGAAGCAGCAACGGCGTCTACATTTACGAATGCTGCAGAAACTACAACATCTATTTTAACAACTGATACTGAAACAACTGTGACAACTGATGCAGCAACAACACTGTCTGCTGTAACGACCGCTACAGTAATCACAACGTCTTTGTCAACAACTGATGCAGAAACTACAACGTCCGCTGTAACGACCGATGCAGTAACCACAACGTCTATGTCAACAACTGATCCAGAAACTACAACATCCATTTCAACAACTGATGCTGAAACAACTGTAAAAACCGAAGCATCAACACTCGCGTCTACAGTAACGACTGATGCAGAAACTACAACGTCTACTTCAACAACTAATGCAGAAACTACAACGTCTGTTTTATCACATGACGCAGAAATTTTTATAACAACTGATGAAGCAACAACTGCGTCTACATTAACGAATGCTGCAGAAACTACAACATCTACTTTAACAACTGATGCTGAAACGACTATGACAACTGATGGAGCAACAACAACGTCCGCTGTAACGACCGATGCAGTTACCTCAACGTCTATGTCAATAACTGATGGAGGAACGTCAAAGTCTGTTTTATCAACTAACGCAGAAAAAACTGTGACAACTAATGCAGCTGCAAAGTCTACTGAAACGTCTAATGTAGTAACTTCAACGTCTGCTTCAACAAATGATGCAGAAACTACAACGTCCGATGTAACATCTGAGGCAGAAATATCTGTGACAACAGAAGCAGCAACAGCAGAGTCAACAGTATCGACTGATTCAGTAACTACAAAATCTGCTTCAACAACTGATGCAGAGACTATGTCTACAACAGCGTCTACAGTAACGACTGATGCAGTAACTACAACCTCTACTTCAACAACTGATGCAGTAACAACAACGTCTACTGTAACGTCTGATGCAGTAACTACAACCTCTACTTCAACAACTGATGCAGTAACTACAACGTCCGTTTTATCACATGACGCAGAAAGTT